ACGCTGGACCCAGGACCGGTGAAACCCTTTTCTTCTCTCTTTCTTTCTTTCTTTCCCTCTCTCTCTCCCTCTTTTCCTTCTTTCTTTTCCACACCTCATCCTTTAAGACATAAAACCATTGACCAAGTCTGAGACTAGGAGTGGATCCAGCCGCCCCTGGGCTCCTCTTTGAGGAGTCCAGAAAGCAAGGGGGTCTGCTCTTAACCTCATGACTCAACGGGAGGGATCTCCTTCTGACACAGTTTCACGTTGCTTTTCCCACTCCTTTTTCTACACTGCCCTTCTCCTTTCAAACAGTGGCTTAATGACATGTTGCAAGGTTCATATTGATAAGTTCACTTGTACTTGGGCAAGGTTAGCTTGGTTGAATAAATGTTGATTGTTGTTTGAGCTCCACTGGTGTCGTTTCACCTAAATTCTGACAAAGGAAATCCACGAACCTGAGTCACTCCGTTTTGGGGACGCAACAGATGGAGACAGGAGAAGTCAGCTCCCAGGGCTGTGGGGATAACACCAAGGCTATGAGACCCTGGAAGGGCACTGAACCAGGAGGACAACTACCAAACGGTGCCTCAAACCCAGCAGAAATTCAATTATGGGAATTGGAAGTGAGCTAATGAGCCCAGTTCACCAATTAAAGACTACTGGAACTGCTGTTCAGACAAAAAAAATGATACACTGGAGCTATACAGATAATTTTCCTTTTCTTAAGGGAAGTCTATATTCAGTGTTAGAAAATAGGAAGTCTTTCTGTAGTTCTGGACTGAATCTCTGTGGTATTGAGGAGATTGGCGCTGCAGAAAACCAACCTGCCCACTGTTAACTCCAGCTGTGGCACTGGCAGAGTAAATTGTCACCAGTCCCCAAAAGATGCTGTCACAGATTGCTGATTTACCAAAAGTCTGCACAAACGAGGTCTGCAGCATCAAGAGAGGAGGTGTGGGAAGGAAACAAGGAAAACTTGTAAACACATTCAGGTCTTCTTTTATCAAACTCTCAGCTAAGGTACCAGCAAGCATGGACATTATGGAGATTTTCAACCCAGTGTTCAGGTTAAAGGTCTTCACCACAGAGAGTGGAGAAGTGCAGGAGTGTTTGTGGTTTGCATATGGTATTTTAAGGTATGTGATGTTTACGCTGAGAGTACCCAGAAGAGAGGACAGCATTGGCCACTGAACTGGAAACATGCAGCTACAGTGGAAAGACAGTGTGCGAGTATCTGCTGCGTGACAGTTGCACTTGACATTCTACAAACCCCTTTAGTGCTGCAGCTTTGCAAAGGAAAGGGGGGCAGCAAGTTGCTCATAAACCACAGCTTCATTTCACACCGGAAAAGCTGTATGCTATAGTGTCAACTTTTTTTTTTTTTTTCCTCTGTTCGAAACAAAAGTTTGTGATTTGCGACTAAATTTTGAAATCTTCATTAAAACTTTCCATTCCTCCTTACAAAAGAGATCCTTCAAAGGTTAACAACAGGAAGAATCGGCAACACTGAAGCAAACACGGTCCGGTGTCGCTCCCCGAGTTATCATCAGTGATCAGTCGCAGGGATCAAGCAGCACCTGCTCATCGTCAGCAACGTTGCATCATTGCTTAGCAATGAGAAGTCCTTCTGAAGCCCTGCGAGGAGGAACCATGGGCAACGGAACAACGGACCTGAGAGAGCACGGTCATTTTGACGCTCCTTTTGTGTCTACCAACCATCGCAGCGTAAATCCCATGTCCTGGGACGTGCTCCTGCTGCCAGTCACGCAATACTGAGACATCCATGCGATGTCTGATATTACTGATACAAAGAAGCTGAAGAGTTTCTCACCGCTACGAAAAAGTCACTGAGATCCTTCCACAAAAATAAGAAATCAATCATATCTGAAACTCAGCATCTCCTCCAGCTCTGATGCCCTAAGCTCCCTCTCATTTCCCATCTGTTAAATGGATGTAAGTAAGCACAAAGAAAACTAATCCTAAACTCACCTTCTGCCAAGCCCCATTCAAAAAAAGCAGACCCTTGTTAATCCATCTCTTCCCTCCTTGCTCCTGTCTCCTTCTATTTAATTGTTTGACATTAATTAAATACAGATCTAGGCTGGCCTTAGTATATAAAGATAAGCCTCGGTCACGAGCAACTTAGGTTGGAGTTCGCCAGCAATCAGACCCCTGCAACCTTAGCTATGAGTAAAATGAAATTTATTGGTAGGTTTGGGAGAAAAAAGGAATTACCTTCTACTGTCTAACCAACCTGTCTGGTCTCCTGACATCTCTTATACAATGCTCTGCAGAAGTAACTAGTTGTCTGAGTTTTTTCTTCTTCCTTAGCCGTATCATAACTGTGGCACTGCAACAGAAATAACTAATAAAACATATTATTAATGCTAGTGTTTCACTGATTTGACTTAGGTCCTCAGTCTAACAATGACAAGTCTATTGCAAAATACCATCTTGAGGGCAAATTGCCAAACCAGAGCATCCTAAAGTCAGAGATTCCTTAATTAGATTAACCACTTATTACTCCTAGTTTTGGAGTAGGTCATCAGCGTAAAACTTACATATACTGATCTAAATTACTTATACAAGTGTTGATTTTAAATTAGGGCCTTTCCTGGAGGTCCTGCTTGTCCCTCCTGCTTTTCATAATCAAATAATTGCCATTGCAACTGGTTTAGTTGTTCTTATTTGTTACTATGTGAAATAGAGCGAGCCTTCAACACAGAAGCCAGAAAAAAAAATTATCCCTGCCCCAGCTAATTTAGTATTTAGGAGACATGAGATGGGGGCACAGGAAAGGGGTGGTTTCGTCTGATCGCACCCAGACGTCTCCGTCGGAGCTACGCTTCCCTGGTTCCTCCCCTGGCCAACGATGTGTGTCCATGCTGAAAAGAAATGCATGACAGCCCGCTTGCAGCTATATATCTCTCCGCTGACAATAAACTTTTGTCTTGCCTTAAAAGGGGATATTCATTAGCAGTTTATTGCAGGCAGCAGAAAGGAATAGCTCCCCCTGAAGCCGTCTCCTGTGACTCCCCAACGTCGCCCTTGCCCGGCACCATGGGCAAGCGTCAGAAGCAACAGGGGCTGATGGTATCTTTCGTGTAATGGTGAGTCACAAAGCACTTCAGCAAATAAGAGTATGAAGAGAAAAAGGAAACCTCTGAACGGTGACGTGGGGTCTGAACGTCGCAATGGAAACGGTGGCCTTGCATGGAAACCCACTCAATCTGTGGGCCACGAGGACCAAGATCAAGGACACCCCTACACCCAGGAGAGGAATCTCTGAGCTCCAGTTTGGTACTCTAGACTAATTCATAATAAAATTTACCATTAATCAGAGGTAAGAGAGAAGAAAGATGTCCCTACTAAGAAAGTCAATAGCCCTTCCTGAATAATCCTTTAATTGCATAGGTTCCCCTAGCACATCCATCACCACATGCCTGAGGACATGCACTACGTGCTGTAGTTAAGCATCCACGCTCTACAGCAGAGTGAGAACCTCGTCCTGACGAACATTTGATCCATCCTCGTTTGCCAGCATGTTCACTTCCATTTGAACCATACTGGAAAGTGGGAATCAGGAATTTTCCTACTTTGGTCTTGGGAGTGTTGTGCTTTTGAAAATGCTTTTGAAATTTCATTTTCTGTCACCGAGCTGTAATAGTGATGGAAAGGGGGGGAGGGTACTCACACAACAATCCCGATGGCTGGCAGGAACCAGCTCCTTCAGCATTTCAGAAAACACGAGACTCAGCTGCAGACATCTACAAGGCAGGCTCGTAGTTTCAGTTCCTTGTCTATGTTCCTCCGTCAGCCCGTGAAGACAGGCGCTTGCCAAGAGCAGCTTATCCCATTATAAAGGGAAGATTAATTCTACTTAGGGTAAGGGGAATAAACTGCCCACTGAAACCAGAAGGAGCCTAGGCAAGTAGCATCACTTCATGTCTGGAGTGCGAAGAGGTGACGTTTAGCTCAACTCTGATGTTCACATCTGCTTGATGGGATTTTGAGATCCAGATCTTGTAATATTATTTAACTGACACCTATTTTCTCTTTATTTTGCCAAAATCCGCTCTATTTCACAAGTCTCACAGCCTCATGAAAGTATGTATTTCACACATCCCAGCAGGCCCAACAGCAGCTTATCTCATTCACCAACATGCTTTGATACCCAATGAAATAAACCCAGTTCCTAAACCATTTTCCATAACTCCTCTCTACGTAGCAGCCACAACAGCTACGGCATCAAAGTCGGCAGCACCTGGTTTCTGACATACCCAGGAAAAGGGGGCTTGCTTTGCAAAGGAGTAATAGAAAAACACCTCGCACAGAAAAATAATCAGCAGGAAAGCCAGGAAGTGCCACCTGAAGAAACAAATAATACACCAGCCCACTGCCCCGCAGTCTGGTGAAACTGTTGCTGTTGTATGTGCAAAGCTCCAGGAAGCATCGCTCATACCCATGTGCGAGTGGTCACCTGGAGGCAGCAGCAAGGGCCCTCTCCTTTGAAGCATGCAAGGGTTTTTCTGGCAGGGCGGAAGCCCCTGTGGTTAGAGAAGAAAACCACAAGATGTTTAAAAAAAAAAAAACCACAAAAAAAAAAAAAAAAAAAACAAACAAGCACACCCCTGCGACATGGGGCTTTCTCGGTGGATTTCAGATCACAGACCACCTGCCTTGCACAAAGCAGCTTTTGCAGAGCAATTGCAAAGAGAACAATTGAGCACCTGCAGAACTCGGCTGCGTGTCAGCAACACACGTGCTTGGAGATAAATCATACATATGGATATATGCCACGAGACACCGTGCTGGGTAATACACTACGGCGTGCTCTGCCATCCGCATGAGACCCCGAGTGCACGCAAGCGAAGGCAGCAGAATTCCTGCCAAGAAACACAACCTGGGGCCTGCAGTCAGAGCTTGGGACTTGTCCCGTGACTTCTGCAGAGCTGGAGCTGCTGTGAACCCCCAGACGGGTGGGACACAGCAGGCTGCGGCGGCTGACCCTACCTCAGGTGCGAGCATCGTCGGTCTGAATCTCTAGGGAAGTCATTGAGGCAAAATCCTTGAGGCATCACTAAGAACTGATAACGGTACATGAGTCCAAATTCTGGATTAGAACCGAATTTCTTCAGAAATCTTTTTCTTTTTCTTCCCCTTTCATTTTGCCGCAGATGCTGAACATCTTCTCTTTACCGAAGAGGGTCCTGATGACATCACATCCTCTCCAAAGAGCGACGCAGCCTCCCAAGTCAAGGAAGAAAGATCACCTCTGCTCCACCACACCATCCCCGAGGACAACCACCCCGAGAAGATGGCCGGGTCTCCTGCGCTGCTCCTTCTGCTCAGTCTGGGGCTCTGTGAGTATGGACACAGGGTCGTGCGTCACCTTCACCGAGATGGGCAAGTAAAACCCCTTCCACTGAATCCAAGAAATTGGGCTAAATAATGGAAGGGAAACTAAAAAGCAAACCAAGAAGGCTGACTTTGAGGTTTGCTCAGTAATCGCGGGGGTGAAGGTGGCACCCCCTCAGCCAGCGTAGGGCAGCCACAGGGGTGGCTGCAGCATCACGCGCGCCAGGAAGGGAGCCCGGTCGGAGAAGTGATTCTGGAGGGGAAAGGGGAAAAAAAGGGGGTTTAGCAGTCAGCGTTTTTAGGGAGTCACTTCAGAGAAGCTGGGAAGGGGTAACGTCCCTGCAAAGGCAGCTGAAAGGCTTTTCTGAAGGGCAGCACCTATCTTTAAAGCCCGGGCGGCTGATGGTGCTGAGCACCCTCTGCGCACGATCCCAGCAAGGACTCCAATAAAATTTCCAAGTCACTCGGACAGCGTGGTCCTCCCCCTGCGTTTGACCTCGCACCCTGCGGACAGGGAACGAGGTTTGCCCAGAGGGGACGTGCCTTCTCCCGAGCGGCTCCCACGAGGATTTCTCTCCCGCAGGCTGCCCTGGGGTCCAGGTCCAGGCGTACAGGATGACGGCCAGGTTTCATGACAGCAGCATCACGCAACCCCGGCTGGGACAGAAGCTGGAGCTGGAGTGTCTGGGTGCCAGGGAGGACAGCGGCGTATTCTGGGTCCGCCAGGACAAGGATGGGACCCTTCACTTCATCGTCTTCATCTCTTCCCTGCTCCGCACCACCTTCAAGGGGAACGAGAGGACATCCACACGCTTTGAGGCGAGGAAACTCGGCAGTGTCTACCACCTGGTAGTGAAGTCTTTCACATCGGGAGACGAGGGGAACTATTTCTGTCTCATGAACAGCAACCAAGTGCTGTACTTCAGCTGTGGCCAGCCTGCCTTCATCCCAGGTCAGCAACACCTCCACCCAGCCTCGCTTAGCTCTGCCAAAATGCCCAGCACCTCCTGCCCGTGCCTTTTTTAATCAGCCGCCTCTCCCGCTGTCCCACAAATCCCATTTTCCCTGCTTGCTTGCCCAAGGCATCTTGTGCCCAATGCACCACTCCTTCTGCCGGAGGCTCCCTGCTTGCTGTCTCTTCTCGTGGTATCGCTCCTGTCCAAAGACAAAAGTGATTGGGCAGACCCAGCATCAACTCCCCATCCCTACTCCTCCATCCTATTCATGGCTCTGAAGGGATAAGACTAAAGCAAAGTCCACCACCACCCCCTCCTTCCTCACCTCACAGAGGTCCCAAAGGTCCTACCAACCTCAGGGTACTCGGGTTTTCTGAGGGTGGTGGCAGAAAGCAAGAAATGAGGAGCCTGCAGGTCCTTACTGGGTTTTGGGGGGCCCTCCTGGGGGAGTGACCATCCAAAATGGGCTCAGTGAAGTCCCCCCAGACCTGAGCCCTATGCTGGCCCCAGGAGCAGCCGTGCCCTGGCAGGGGGGGGAGAGCAGAAGGGCAGAGAGTTATTTTATTGTATTACCCTGTACAATGTATTCATCCATTTTCATTTACAGTCACCATCACAACAGCACCCACTGTACCAGCATCCACCGCCCAGAGTGGCATCACCAAAAACGACTCCTGCCCGAAGACTCCGGATCCAGGTAGCCCACCTGCAGGGAGGGAGAGGGCAAGAGCGGGGGGCTCTGGTCCACTGAAACGAGGGGAATCCTGCAGGCATTTTGGAATAGCAGAGGGAGGAAAATCCTTAGAGCTTTATCAGAGTTGGATAAGTGGGTCTGCGCAGCTGGGAGGGTTAAAACCCCAACGTTTCATCCCATATAGGAAAGGCTAAGGATCACTTAAAAAGCACAAGGATATCTCATGACCGGGTACCTTGGGAAGAGGTGGAGGGAGGGCAGAGCCTCGGCAGGGGACGCAAGAAAACTTTTGGCTCCGCGTCCGCCCTCAAGTCCCCAGGAAAATGCCGAGAGCAGCAGCACTAATGAACGCTCGCTGCTGGGGATGACACCCATCCTGCGCTCGTGGACATCCCTGGCGCCCAATTCTGCTTTGCGGGCCAGGGGAAGCCCTTGGCTTCACCGCCAGCCTCGCTGAATGCCGAGCAGGTAACACCAGCCGCGAGCACCTGACGGACCTTTCCTCTTCTCTATTCCTGCAGAGACCGGTAAGGAGAAACAGCTGAATTTCTTCTGTGACATCTTCATCTGGGTTCCCTTGTCCGGCGCCTGCCTCCTGCTCCTCATCGCCCTGATAGTCACCACCGTGCTGTGTCAACGTAAGACTTACCCGTAACCCCCCATAGATAGTCCTTTAGCCCAAAACCACAGCCCTGTCCTTTAGGGGAATGGATCTTCTAGCTATCCCCTTTACGTAGACATCAGATAACCAGGACACAGTCAACCCAAGAGAAGGGCCACTGTTAAAAAAAAAAAAAAAAAAAAAAATTGGGGTTCATATTTTCCTCATCAGTAGGCTTAGCCTGAAAATAATTATCAATGTCTACACTACAAGAAAGAAAAATAGATTATAAATAGAAAAAAAACTTACTCTATCAAACTGTATTGGCTCTATCATCCTTAAATTGGTGTATCAGGGGGTAAAAAGGGCTTGCAAATTCAAACGCCGAGACTCTCATTAGCAGCCTGAGCTGTAACCAAACAAGCAACTTAATTGCCCGGGTTCAGAGACTGCTATGGTTAAAGCAGTAATGCAAAGTCTCTGGGTAGGCAAAAATCCTTTGGTGAAATTTCACGTTTGAAATGTCTTTAAATTACCCTGAGCAAGCAGCGAGTGCAAATGTATTTAAATCAATTTAACGCTTGCTGAAATCAGTTTAACTTTCCGATACCCCCAGCAGTTACACCGATTTCATTAAACTGGCTCAGCTCATTTGCCTGGAACACCAAAGTGTTTTGCTGCTGAGTTAACATAACTAGATCCTCACTGACCCCGCAGCCTGGAGCTGATGCAAGATGAATTTACCAGCTGACCCAGTTAAAAAAAGTACAATTTTTCAGCATCTTTCAGCCCTGAAAAATGCTAATTCACCACGGTCTGCAGCGATAGGAAGGAATACATGAAAAAACAATAATAAGCCGCAGCCAAAAATCATTCTTCTCGAGGGAAATAGCTGATGATGCAGCAGAGCACCCAGAGTTGGTCCGAATTCCCTCTGAAGTCACCAGAAGCTCCCCATGTGCACTAGGATTCCCCAGTGACCTGCAACATCATTAACGTACAAACGCCAGTCAGTGATTTATTTCTGCCTTTTAATGCTGACATGAATGATCAGTGAAAAGCCATTAGCTGCAATTAGTTTCTGCAGCAGGCAGCCTAAGCCCTCAAGGACGGATCTTTACCCTCTACTAAAATTAATGGCAGGACATTGTATTTTGCCGGATACAGCCCAAAGTAACGACACAGATGCTAAAATGGAGGAGATTATCGTTCAACTTGGTTGCGTGCTGCGTGGCATTATTGCCACCTGCCCGTTGTAGAAATTAATTGCTGCCAATGGATTTTCAGCAACATGCCAAAGTCACTGGAAACAGCAAAAAAAATTATTCACCATCAGTGTTCCCAGGCTGACCCTGCCACTGTTACTCACATGAAAATTTAATTAATGAAAATACTGAAGTGGACTGCTGGGCAAATGTAAGCTATAGCACCGCTCCGTTGCATGGCTTTCCTCAAAAATAAGTTTGGGTTATCCGTTGTTAGTCTTAAAGATAGCAAGTTGCTAGGGAATTGCCAGCCCTACCTTGCTGCAGTGTTTCTTTACTGAGCTGTGCCATGGGATCTTGGAACTAAACCATTTTCTTTTTTATTTTAGAAACCAGAAGACGAAGATGCAGATGTAAAAGGTTAGTAAGTGAGAGATGTTGACATTTTTCTCTTAAACTTGGCAGCATCTCGCCCTCAAGTGATAAAGCAGGCAGGTGTCAAAAGGTGACCTAAAAATTCTTCATCCGATGTACGGTGGATGGGAAGGGACTGTGTAATGAATTAAGGGGGTGAAAAAAGAGAGAGATAAGACTCTTCTCCCGTGTTCAGTGAGCATTGACACTGCAGTAGATATGAAACAGAAAGACAGGAGGTGTTTGTGCCAGCCTAAAAACTTTGTGCATCACCTGATGCTTATAATTAATATCACATTTGTGTGCTCCTCATGCACCACTCCAACTCGAGCCTGGGGGTGACCGTGTTTCATCCCTTCCCCTCCCCAAACTGTTCATTTGATTTCATCACTGGACCTTCAGGTTGTGCCCATGGATTAGATGCAAGTTATTGCATCCCATATTCTCCTTTGCACAATTTTGGACCAACATCATCACAGCTTTATGCTTCTATTTCCCCAACAGGCACTAAGTAACAGTAGCAGAGAGGCTGATGCAGCCTTAGGTGACTTTCTCGAGAAACAGCAGTGCAGATAAATATATATATAGCTTTAGAGTTAACCCATTTTCTAGGACAGACAGGAACCATTTTTTTATGCCTTCCCTCCTGCCTCCCCAACCCACCCATCATCCTGAGTCACCAGGAAAACACTATCGGAATAGGAATTGCAATTTGCCAGTTTGGAACAAGAAATCCTTTTGCCTGCAACAAATGTGCATTTTGCTTCTGCAAATCGACCTCCCCGCGGCCGGTTTCTTCACCTCGCCTGCTCTGCAGAAAACCACTTTGGCAGTTTTGCAAGCCTTGTGCCGAGAGTGCACCCTAGGGCTTTTGGCAAGAGAGTGCTTCAGCACCAAAATCCCCGCTACTGCTCCGGCCAGGCCACTGCTGGGCTAGCACTTGGAAAAGCTGGCTCGCAAGAAAGTTTGGAACATTATTGTCACACCTCCGGAGCCTTATGCTTTGCAAATCAAGCATCTTTTAAGTCAGATGAATTCAAATTCCCTGTTACACATGCATGGGTTTCATAGTAAAAAAGTTCAGTTTTTTAGTTGTCCAAAGTAACAGTATCGCTCAGAAAGAACCCCCGTCCCCTTACATGAACAGAAAATAGATTCCTACAATTTTTTTTTTAAAGGCAGAACACATCAGAAATCATTACTTGAGCAACAGCAGCATTTAAGGGAAGTGGCACTGAGCGGCAATGCCTTCTGCCCTTTGGGTGCAATCTTTCTATGTACGTATCAGAATACAGCTGCACCCACAGACCTGCCTTTTTTTTTTACCTGTCTGAAAAAAGGGAACAGCCTGTCGTTTTTATGATGGATATTTATTACACCCAGTGCTCTTCTAATCCTCGCCTGGCTTTCCAAGGGCTAAGTGATAATGAAGAGCTCTTCTAGCAGCCTTGTTTAGGACGATACTCACATTCTTCACTTATCTCAATCCCTGTTGCCAGCCCTGTGCAAAGATGTTCTGTCCCTAAGGGGAAAAAACACACTGCAGAGCTCTTCAATTTTGCACCGATGGAGCGGTTGGGTTACAAGTGCCTCAGGAAATCATCTCATCAAGGACAGGTTTCCTTCGGCGGCAGCAGTAACATGACAGAGTTCTGGTTTAAGCAACTGTAGCATATTTAAGCTTTTATTTAGAGAGGAAATTCCTGCTGCTCTGAGCTGTTCCCACTCACTGAAATGAAGCTCTTTGGAAGTTAATAGTGCAATTCACTCAATTAAAGAGCGCCTCAGGATCTGGCCTGGGATTCTTGCTGGCAGCTGAAGGATTCATTTTCCACCACAAATTAATCTTCAGTGAAAATGGGTGCCAAATCTCCAACTCATTAAATCAGCATAAAACTATCAGTTGCTAGAGACCAGTAATTTCTATCATTTTGGGAGCACGCTGGTTGTCTAGAAAGCCTCCTTTTAAACTGCTGTGCAGGAAAATGGTTTGTGACAAGAAAAAGTCCTTATGAATTGATAACAGTTTCTCCAACTCCAAAAAAAGCCCTGAGCAATTCTTTCTTCATTCATTTCTGAATATGGAGAAGGGCTCGATGAGAGGACAGGAGTGTGCAGAAGTCAGAGGTAAATTAAAAAAAAAAATTGATTAGCAGTGTATCTTAAGAAGTCCTTCTGGCTGTCACTAGTTGAAATGCTGGCAGATCCTTCACTAGCACGAAGAGGATTTAGGAACACTTTGCAGCCTGCTCTTGGAGGTCCCTGGCTGCAGACCAAGGCTGAACGAGCTGATCAGCAGCCATACATTAATTGCCTTCTTGTTCCTTTCACGTCGAAGTAAATCAAACCCTTTTCTCCCTCTAGACCTGTGAACGGGAAGCCCAATGTGAAACCTAGGACACCAAACCAACACACATAAGCATCTGCACCTTTTGGCTTCTGGACCATCTTCTGGGAGCTGTCACCGCATAAGCCCATCACCTACGGTACCTATAATGCTACTACTACTCGTGCAGTCTACCCTGAGAAATTTGAAAAGACAGGATGGAGCAGAGACACACAGACAGCAAGCAAGCACTTTTTCTGTGAACTGCACACTGAAGCACAGCTCCTTCCAAAACTTGAGGTTTTCAAGTTAATTCCCAAGGCCAAATGCCATCTCTGTTCCCAGTGACGGAGCTCTGTGGTTCCAGCTAAAGAAACAGATCAATCCTGATGCTGACCTGTATCAGGCATAAGCTGATAAGAAATAAGGGTATTAGCTGGACCTTTGCTCAAGGGTGTGCGATACTTCTTTCTAAAATGCAGCCAAAATTTGAATTTGCTACAAAATGACATAAAAATAAATGCCCTCACTTAACACATCCTCTTTTTGTGGTGCCATGTATCTCCTAAGAGTTTTACTGTTTTATCTACTGTAACACAAGGCTGCACTGAGAAGGTAAATATGGATTAAAGGGTCTTACTTTTTAGGCTTTTACAGTCCTGGGGGCTATGGTTTACTGTTTCCCCTCTTGCTATCCTTGTTCTGCTGCTAGCCCCACTTCTACCGATTTCAGCTGGAGTTTTGCCTGAGCAGGGAAGGTAGGATTTTCTTTCTGAAAGAAATAGCCAACTGGTAAAGGAAGGAAAAAAAAAAGTCTTTGTCACTTGTTTTGTTTAAGCAGAACTTTTAGCATACTGACTTGGGACATATTGATTGACTAAAAGGAATTCTGTTTTTTCAGCTCTGTATTTGATGTAACTACTTCCTTACTGCACTTGCAATCAAGAACTGAGAAAAAAAAATAAAACACTGTTTCTAGTCAGACTCAATAAGGTTTCTTTCTTTCTTCAGTTCCTAGCCTCAGAAAAGCTAAAATCCTTTGTGAAGATAATAAGTGAGGGTTTGAGGAAGTCTTGGGTAAGAGAAAAGCCAGCAATCTACATACCAACCTGAGCTTTAGAATGCCAGAGTTCAGCTTCCAGATTACCACTGCCTAAAATTATCTAAAACTATTTTCCAAGGGACTTGCAAGATGGGCCCCATAACACTCCCCCATCACAGGGAGATGCTGTGAAGGTGGATGAGATAAAGACTCTGGAGGTATTCACGTATTCTTGCCAAGGGGCTGATAAAAACCTGGGGGAAAAAAGAATGAAAGAAACCCTTTGCTAGTCTGCTTCCCTGCAAACAAGCTGGGAAAGAGAGAAATTCAGAGAGAAACAAAGTTCTTCCAAACTTAGTTTTTTGTAATAATTTTTAAAAAAAAAAAACCAACCCTCAAAAAACCAGGGACTCGGTAAGTGTAAACAATAGCAAGCAAATACTGAATGACAACTACGTGTATCTACACACTAAAGAAAAAATTAACAGAAAAGCCTTAACATTAAAATGTCTTATGAATTCACAGGCATTAAGAAACACTAAGACACATTCAATCTACTAAGGGTGACCTCGTTTATACCCCAGGTGCCAAGCTGGGGCGAAGCGAGGGTCTCGCGGCACCTGCGGTGCCAGTCTGCCCCATCACCGCGTCAGCCTTGTCACCAACGTGCAGCTGCATTTTGACAACAACGTGAAGCAGATCCACTCACCAACCTGTTTCTAGACAGACTAGGTCCAACCTTTAGCCCCGTTTTAATACGTTACGGTTACCTGAATCAGTCCGATCTCATCCTACAGTCAGCTCTAACCATGCAGATGAAAAGCTCATACCTTTTCTCTCTCTCCTGTGGGCATCAATTTTATTATTAGGTTGTCCCAGAGTCTCTTGTTGACTTAGTTTGAGCTAAAAGTTTTCACTTATAAAGTCTTAACTCATAAAGCATTTCTGCAAAACAGCTTACAAAAGGCAGGAACTTCACTATCTCACTGATAGCATTCTCTACAGCTCTTTCCCCACTATTCTCAATCATTTTATCCTGGGTTTTCACATTATACCAGCGCTTTGGTGTACATCATGCCACGTTCCTGTAACCCAGGCTGCCAGGCAATGCTCCTCCTGACCTGGTACCAACCCCCAAACCTAAATCCTTTTCCACCAGATTGTCTCCACACTTCCACAGTGACCTTCCCCTCCCACTCCAGCTCTTTCAAATGGTTTTGTAGACAGAAGGTGAAATGATCTGACTGCATGCATCTCTTTTCCCCACAAAAGGCCACATTATGCACGGGAGCATTTCCTTGCATTTCAAGAAAATGCATTTTCTCTGGCACAGTAGTTGAATGTGGCATGTGACACACGCCAAGATTAAATGTATAGCATTAAACATTGAACAGAAAACCTAGCAGAAGCATTTTTCTGTATTTTACTCCCTGTAAGCTATGCTATTCTTTCAAATGAAATTATTATTTCATGATCCACCGGTTAAATACTTATTGCTAGTTCTTCTGCTATGAAAGCCTACAGAGGTCAATCCTGCAGTGAAAAACAGGATATGGGTATTTAAAATCAAAAAGCATTTCAATAAGATGAACACATGTACAACAAATCCCTCGCTACAGAAACTGCATGCACGATAAACAGAGCAAGATAATACCCCAAGCAATGTAAAATACATATATTTAGGCATTACTAACTACTGACATTACTAATAGTAATGCTCCACCGTGCAGCGCTGCACCAAGACCCTGGTCCTAAAGCGAGATCGATGCAGCCAAAGCCCTCCTGACACCACAGATGAATGGAGCAAAGAACTGGAAGGAGTATATGGTTTGTTGGGGTTTGGGTTTTTTTTAGTAGTCTTCATTTGCACAGGAAACCAACACCTAAAAAAAAAAAATTACAACACTGACAGTTGTAATTACCCTCCTGAATACAGCACAAAATCCACCGTGCAGTGGGGGCTATGGATTTTTGACTTAATAGTTCAGAATCACAGAACATCGTTGATCTCTTTTAACCCCGATGCCGAATTCAGGAGTCTTTGGGATGGCTCCTGCCTCCCTCTATGCACTTTGTGCTGAACCCCCAGCCTGCACTCTGCAGGCCACAGTTCACGCAGCACCCCGGGGTACACCCTGCTCAGCACAACCCTCAGGACCCAGCATGCACCCAGGTATCACAAAACCAGATAAAAACCAACCATCACACAACTGCCTGCGGCAACTAGTATCTACTGGTTCAAGCTCTGGCTGCACAGCCAGATGCCTTAAAAGAAACCAAAACTGAAATCTCATCTTTGAGGATAACTGGAGCCTTCATTCATAAATTCATGAATCTAGCAAGCTCCCAGCAGTTTCAGCACTGCAAAGACAGGACTTTCATTGCAATAGTACTGCCTATATAGCACATTCCCTCTTTAGGAGGTATGCTTCACATACAAAGAAAGCCCAGTTAACGGACTTATTAAAAATTCTCCTGCCTGCCAACTTCTGGACAGCATCATCACAGCTGTAAGCTATGAGGGCATGGCTTTTTACTGGGTATAATCAAGCTATTAAAAATACATGACTGTTCACTGAACTCTATTAGCAGCTTTCAGCTTCTTACTTGCTAACTATCAGCCAGGCATCATCTTCAATTCTTTATCTTTATTCGTGTCTTTGCTTCTCTTTAAAACACAGATCTTGGTGGTGTCTGATTTTGGTTCTTAGATCTGTAGACGACCAAAGGGATGCATCACCCAAACTGCCTATTAAGCTTGGCTGCAAACTGCACATAAAGTATCAGTAGAAATATTATCCCTCTGTACCACTGTAACAGATACCGTAAGTTAGCATAAACCTACTAAGGAATTAATTTTAAAAGCATATCCAGCTCTCCACCTGCGGACTCTCTGTGAGTTACTACAAGTACATGTTCATGGACTGCTGTCCCTCCCAAGATACCAGGGGTAAAAGTTGTTGATCTCTTCTCTTCTTACATGGGCCTTTCTATTTGTGAACTGCTGCAATTTAAATTTGTTTTAGAAATACACCAAATACACTGGACTGAACTGCTGTGATTCAGCATTTGCTACCCAACCAGCAAAACTACCTCTGCAGAAGGTCAGAAGGCTGAGGGAACCAGAAGAGGCAGCTTGGGGCATGCACCAGAACAAGCACTTACTCTTCTTTACTCACTGCTCCCAGTATCACGTTGAATACCCCAAAAAAGAGGAACACCTCACGGGCAGACACATCCATAAGAAGTTTGCTTTAAACCACCAGACTGACTTCACCAAGGAACCCTCCAGCAGAGGCGGTGACACAGCACAGCTCCCCAAACAAGACTGAGTTTCCTTCGCCAGCTCTTCCTTCCACAGTCCCAGGATCGATTCATCTTCCAGTTTAGGTCAGCTGTAGCCAGCACTGCGTCTCAGATTTAAACCTACAGCTCAAGGAAGGCCTGCTAAGTTTTCCATTTACATGTAGAGCTGAAGAACAATGATCTTTACAATTAGCTTAGCAAGACCTGCATTTTCTTCACAAGATATTTACCTTTGCACCCCTACTGATAAGCTACTGATAGCAGGCAAAAACAGAACCACATCTTTCGCACCAAAACCTCAACAACCAGATGCAAGTACCAGTGCAGCAGTGAGAAGGGAAGGAGCTGAAAGCAACTCCAGCCCTGCCGTAGAGGTGAATGACTAACACAGCATCAAGCTAGAAGGTATGTAGATGCCTCTAGAAAATCAAGCAAGTCCGGAGCAAACTGGCTGAGTAGCAACATCTGGGCAAGAAGCCTAGACTGCTGCTTGCACCGATAAAGAGAGGAGGACTGGCTGAGCTGGACTCTAGAGAAGCAGCTCGAGGGTGCTCGTTTCTCCGTGCAGAAAGCTGTTGTTGGACAGGCCCTACAGATCTGACAGCTTTTTGCTAACAGTGCGTGAGGGAGGTTCTATGTTACACGCTGAGGTGACTGCACCGGCTGCAGGAGCAAAAGCTGGAAGCTGTTACAGGTTAATACGAGGCAAACAAGAGTCTGAGATAGAGAATTACTTTCAAAGAGATGTGGAAGGACTAAATTTGTTCAGAGGTTGAAGGTTACCTAATTGCAGAGTTGCTCAAAACTAATAGCGGAGTAGCTCAAAACTCTCAGAAGCTGACGGGCTAAAAGGCAAACAACCTAGGAGTTAACACTTAATGGCGGAAAGAGCAAAAGCTTATTTACAATTTAAGCAAAACCTCAATTAAGAAAGAAAAAAGGGCACAAGATGGTCACTGAAAGCCCTATGAAGCTGAGGGAGGCATCAGATGCCCCCACAACATAAAGCATCTAGAATTTATTGCCTTCGTTAGACAACCGCTTCTACCCCACCCAGTGCTTCACTTACTCTGATGTATTTTCCGAACGATAAAGGATTTTGATGAGTTAAATAAGCTCCAGATAAATAACACAGCTAAGATGATCCCAGAAGAGCCAGTAACTAGACTGGTCAGTTGAAGTCACTTTGTCCGTCCAAGCCTGTATTTGACAGGTG